AATTACATGATGTTATATTGTCATTTGGTTATTTTGTCCAAATATACAAAAATCATCATGATCAAGAGTTTGCAGCTCGTATGATAAATAGAATTGAAAAAAGATGGAATAGTTGGGAGCAGACTTTATTGATGATTTCAATTTTCCTTCACCCTACTTTAAAAGATACAACATTTAATGATTCAATTCCAAATTTAACTTGGGTTGATTTAGGAAGATGGATTGCCTATTATTATGTTGTATGGTTTAAAAAGAGGCCTCATAATTTATTATTAGAAATTGAAAACTTCTGAAGAAAAAAATTTCCATTTTCAGAACCATACTATTCTATGCTTTCCAAAGATGTTAAACAATTTTGGAGTTATTTTTCTACACATGCAACAGAATTAGGACCAGTTGCAATTAGGCTTTATGGAATTTGCACAAACTCTGCTTCTGTAGAGAGATTGTGGTCGTCGATGGGATTCTTACATAACATAAGGAGAAATAAATTAAAGGTTACTGTCTAATACTTATTATATTTATTGACCAACTGAGCCAACAGAATTCTGATATTTTATAAAATTTTAGCTTCAAAAGGTCTTAACCATGGCACAACTGAGAGCAACTATTCATTTCAATACTAAACAAGAAAAGAAAAAATTTTCACATCATCATACATCATTACCATTACCATCAGATGAAAATGATGATTGCACCATTTTGGATCATAACAATAATGATAACAGAAATGGTAATGATCATAATAACATTACAATCTCAAGTAATGAAAATGATGGAATTTTAGGTGAAGAAGATATCGAAGATGGTGATACCATTACTAAAACTATAACTACTAATGAAGAAATAAAAGCTTATTTTAGGACCTGTGAAAGAATGATACAAGAAGAAAGAGCTGCAATTGAAGATGAAAATATTTCTAATTTCATATTCTTGCCAGCAGAAGATGTTTTTGACTTGGTAGGAGAAACAGAACATCCTGCTAACAATAAGGATGCTAAATGGGCTATAAAAGATTTATTTAAACCTTTAGATATCAATCTCTGGTAGATGAAAAATTATCTCCTTTTTATTACTTGATTTTGTTAATTAAAAATTTTTAATTTTAATTATAAATAAAAGTTATATTGCTTTTTATAAAAATTGAATAATTTTTCTTATTAAAATTTTCATTGATGAGAGCGTTGGCATATTGGACTGTCCAATATGCCAATGTGGCTTTGTTACACCATGTCCAATTCCAAATACTAATTGGACATTTGGATCCAAATATTGGACACAAATTGGACAAATTGGACATTTGGACAGATTTGCCAACACTGAATTTAGGAATTATCTCTAAAAGTTAAAAATTTGATTGGTGTGTAATGTTACACCCCCACATTCCCCACATCGAATTTTCAACACTGACGCAAATAAATATGTTGTGATGTGTAACATTTTAGACTACCACACACAATCTATCTATTATTGTATCGTTAGGTTATGTTTAGACCAGGGCTGGAAATAGTGTCTGAAAAAAAAAGGAAGTTCCTCCTGAATGCTAAAAATTTTCCGGAAGAAAATTTTAAAAAAAAGGAAAATTTTTTGGGTGCTAAAATTTCTTTACTTTGAAAAATTTTACTAAGAGCATCACTAAAATCATAACCAAATAAATCAGTACCTTTTAAACCAACCATTA